GCTGAGCCACAAGAGAAGCCCAATAATACAGGAGTGGGTAGCCTAATCCCTTCTCCAACGGATCTTCCCAACCCAGGAACCAAACTGGGGTCTCCTATATTGCTTCCCTGGTGGCTCAGCTGGTAAAGAATCTGCCTGCAATGTGGGACACCTGGGTTCGATCCCTGGGTTGGGAAGATCCCCTGGAGAAGGGAAAGGCTACCCACTCCAGTATTCTGGCCTAGAGAATTCCATGGACTGTATAGTCCACAGGATAGCAAAGAGTCGGACAAGACTGAATGACTCACTTTAACTCCTGCATTGCAGGCAGATTCTTTACCAACTGAGCTATGAGGGAATAAAAAAGAAATACATTGTACACTGTGACCAGCTATGTGCTTAGGTGTGTGTGTATCTAAAAATACTTTTGTAAAATCATTTACCCCTGCTGCACCCACTGTGCCCTGATGCCTTATTCTGTTATCCTCTTAAATTTTTGGTGCTGTTGACAACCCACTAAATTGGGTTCCTGTCTGCTTTTTCTATGGAACAGCTATAAACTTGGACCAAGTGCACTAGAACAGTCTCTCAATTGGGCACAGAGGTCAGTATATCTGGGTCTGGATCATTCTTTGTTGTGGGAACACTTTCCTGTGCATTGGAAGGTATTAAGCAGAATCCCTGGTCTCTACCCACAAGATACCAATAGCAACCGACCCTCAAGTCATGACAACCAAAAATGTCTCCATGAGTACTTGCTCAGTCATGTCTGATACTTGGCGACCCCATGGACTGTAGCCTGCCAGGCTCCTCTGCCCATTGGATTTCCCAGGCAAGAATACTGGAGTGGGTTGCCATTACTTTCTCCCAGGGATTTTCCCAACCCAGAGATGGAAGCCAAATCTCCTGAGTATCCTGTTCTGGCAGGCAGATTCTGTACCACTGAGTCACTCTGGGAAGCCACCTGGGAATCCCCAAAGTGCCTCCAGACATTGCCAAATGCAGCCTGTCATAGTACCTGGAAATAGTAGGTATGCAGGAAATATTTGCTGCATGAATAATAAAGGCAAAAAAATCTCACTTGATGAGACTTACTGGTCTACAGCCTCATTCCCCAGTCATGACAGCTGCCCTGATAGCCTAAGGGGATGCTAGTTCATCTGCTCTGTCCAAAGCAGAACCCAAGCTCAGGTGTTGCAGCACTGACAGGAAGATAAGCAAAGCATCTTTTCTGACAGTTGCAGCTCCTCTGAGAGCCCCAGGACGAGCTCAGTCCTGAGCTCTTCCCAGGCTCTTACAGAAGCCTCCAGCCTGCCTCCTCTCCCTCGGCACCCTTTCTCTATCACCGCAAGGCCTTCTGAAGAAACCTCTGGGTTTGTATCAAGTAGTATCCACAGATATCTCTTCTTCAGCCAGGGTTCGGTCCCCAGTCCTGTCATGAGTCCTGCTTTGGGGACATCCTTGGGGACAATGTTCAACATATTTTTTTGAGGCCCTGTTTTCTTCACAGTTGTGTCTCTGAAAGCATGGCTCATCTGGGACATGAACTTTGGAGGATGCTTCAGAGACGAAGAACTGATTCTTTTAAAAAAAAAAAATTTTTTTTTGGTGTATAGTTGATGCATGGAAACCCACTTCAGTATTCTTGCCTGGAAAAGCGCATGGACAGAGGAACCTGGCGGGCTCCAGTCCATGGGGTCAAAAAGAGTCAGATACAACTGAGTGACTAAGCATACACATAGTTGATTTATTGGATTGTCCTAAAAGTTTGTAAAGATTTTTCCATGAGATGTTACAGAAAAACCAGATGAGCTTTTTGGCCAACCCGGTACAAGGCTGTGTTAGTTTCAGGTGTGCAACAAAGTGAATCAGTTATTTGTTGTTCAGTCGCAAAGTCGTGTCCAACTCTTTGCAAACATGTGAACTGGGAAGCACGCCAGGCTTCCCTGTCCGTCACCATCTCCCCGAGTTTACTCAAACTCATGTCTGTTGAGTCGGTGATACCATCCAAACATCTCATCCTCTGTTGCCCCCTTCTCCTCTTGCCCTCTATCTTTCCCAGCATCAAGGTCTTTTCCAATGAGTCCACTCTTCCCATCAGGTGGCCAGAGTATTGGAGCTTCAGCTTCAGCATCAGTCCTTTCAATGAATATTCAGGGCTGGTTTTCCTTTAGGATTGACTGGTTTGATCTCCTTGCTGTCTAAGGAACTCTCAAGACTCTTCTCCAGCACCACAGTTTAAAAGTATCATTTCTTTGTGATCCGACACAGCCTTATTTATGGTCCAACTCTCACACCTATACATGACTATTGGAAAAACCATAGCTTTGACTATATGGACCTCTGTTAGCAAAGTGATGTCTCTGCTTTTTAATACGCTATCTAGGTTTGTCATAGCTTTTCTTCCAAGGAACAAGCATATTTTAATTTCTTGGCTGCAGTCACCATCCACAGTGATTTTGGAGCCCAAGAAAATAAAGTCTGTCACTGTTCCCATTTTTTCCTCATCTATTTGCCATGAAGTGATGGGTCCAGATGCCATGATCTTAGTTTTTTGAATGTTGAGTTTTAAGCCAGATTTTTCACTCTCCTCTTTTACCCTCATCAAGAGGCTCTTTAGTTCCTCTTAGTTTTCTTCCATTGGAGTGGTATCATCTACATATCTGAGGTTGTTGATATTTCTCCCAGGAATCTTGATTCTACCTTGTGAGTCATCCAGCCCAGCATTTCGCATGATGTACTCTGCATAAACGTTAAATCAGTAATAGTACTCTTGTCTGGGCAATCCCATGGACAGAGGAGCCTCATGGGCTACAGTCCATAAGGTCGCAAAAGAGTCAAGACACAACAATAATAATAGTGGTTAAGACTCTACACTTCCAAGCTGCAGGTGAAGCCAATAAAAAAAAGAAAGAAAAAAGACAATTCAGTAAAGAGAGAAGAGTGAATACAATAACAGAAGCTGAATCTTAAATAATGAATAGGTGTTCATTTGTGTAAAAGGCATGGTGATCATTGGAAAGATGAGTGAAGGATTATGCTGTTGGGCTGGGGAACTGTGGTTTAAAGAAGATGGGAGGACAGATTTTGTGGGCTATAAGGACAGAGCAGAGAGCCTCACCCTCAGTTCTACTGATGTTGTTGTTTAGTCACTCAGTTGTGTCCAATTCTTTGTGACCCCATGGACTATAGCCCACCAGGCTCCCCTATCCATGGGATTTTCCAGGCACGAATACTGGAGTGGGTTGCCATGTCCTTGTCCAGAGTATCTTGATGATCCAGGGGCTGAATCCATGTCTCCTGCATCTCCTGCATCTCCTGCATTGGCAGGCAGATTCTTTACTCTAAGCCACCAGGGACCCCACTGTTGAGATTGAGACCAAGTAATTCTTTGCAGTGGGGGCTATGCATTACAGTTGTTAGAAGCATCCCTAGCTTCTGACAACTAGATGGAAGTAGATCACTAGCTGTGACAACTAAAAGTGCATAGATAATACCTGTTCTCTGGAAGAACAATCACACCGAGTTGAGAAGCACCATGTTAAGAGACACAAGGGGATGGATCATTAAGGACCATGGTACACTAAGGAACTCTATCCTGTAGGCAGTGAGGATCCATTGAAAGATTTCGGAAAGGGAACTGAGAAATGGTTAGCTTTTCATCTTCAAGAAATTTCTGTGGTTGCAACACCCTCCTGTTTCTCCTGCCCAAATTTACTTTTCTTTTAAAAATTTTTATTGCAGTATAGCTGCATTACAATTTGTTAGTTTCTTCTCTACAGTAAAGTGAATCAGCTATGCATATATATACATATATTTGTTGTTTAGTTGCTCAGTCGTGTCCGACCTTTTCAAGATCCCCATGGACTGTGTAGCCCACCAGTCTCCTCTGTCCATGGGGATTCTCCCAGGCCAAGAATACTGGAGTGGGTTGCCATTTCCTCCTCCAGGGGAATCTTTCTGACCCAGTAATCAAACCTGTGTTTCCTGCATTGGCAGGTGGGTTCTTTACCATTGAGCCAACAGGGAAGCCCAGATCTAACCATAACATCAGATATTTTTCACATAACAGCACACAAACCAATCAAATATAGTCCAGAACAGATCAGAGGCTACAAATCATGTATATAGCCCCTCTTTTTTGGATTTCTTTCCCATTTAGGTCACCACAGAGCACTGAGGAGGGTTCCCTGGCCTATATGTAGGTTCTCATTAGTCATCTGTTTTATACATAGAAGTGTATATATGTCAATCTCAACCTCCCAGTTCATTCCACCCAAACTTATGTATTCTTGGTCAGAAGAGTTGCCCATGTTTCCTCCAGCCTCCATGATATAACAGTTCATACAGACCCAGGTTTATCCAGCAGAGCCCAGAGATTCTACCTAAATCTCACACCACAAAATAAAACTGCAGGAGCTCAGTAGTAGGCTTCCCAGATGGCACTGTGGTAAAGAATCCACCTGCAGTGTGGGAGACCTGGGTTCCATCCCTGGGTCGGGAAGATTCCTTGGAGGAGGAAATGGCAACTCATTCCAGTATTCTTGCCTGGAAGACCCCATGAATAGAGGAGCCTGGAGGGCTACAGACCATGGAGTCACAAAGAGTCTCATATGACTGAGCACACATGCAAAGCAAAGTAGGTCTGTAGCAGCCAACTCCACTCAGAGAACTATTTTTTTTTTCCTTTAAAATATGATTTATTTATTTTTGGCTGCGCTGGATCTTTGTTGCTGTCCGAGGGCCTTCTCTAGTTGCAGAAAGTGGGGCTACTCTTCTTTGCTGTGCTTGGGCTTCTCACTGTGGAACATGGGTTCTAGAACACAGTCTCAGTAGTTGTAGCACACAGGCTTAGTTGCCCCTCGGCATCTGGGATCTTCCCAGAACCGAGGATCGAACCTGTGTCCCCTGCATTGGCAGGCGGATTCTTTACCACTGAGCCACCAGGGAAGTTCCAGAGGACTAGTCTTAAACTTGAACACCAAGAGATAACAATGACCCATCCCTAATTGAACCCACAGGCTCCACTGCATCAACGACGTCTACCCAGTCCTTGACAAGACCAGGCAGCAACACCCACATCACACGGGAGAATTCTAGACCCACAGGAACCACAGGTTCAACCAGCATCAGCAAAACCAGTACATTAACTTCTGGAGAACAAAGGAGTCCTGAGAACATCAACCTCACCAGTGTTTCAGGAGTGACAACCACGTCTCCTTCTACCATCTTTGTCCCAGAGAACACAATCAGCCATCCAACAATGGCCGAAAATGAGACCAAGGGAAATTTGAGTGCCTCTATAGCCCCACCTGAGACCTCTGTGACTGAAAGAAGAAACAGTTGGGGTACCACCTCTAACACCTCAGATTTGAGCACTGTTGACAGCCAGCAAGAAAGTTCTACTCAGGTCTCTCCATCACACACAGTAGGGGAGCTCAGAAGTCCTGACACCACTGCTGATGGAAACAGCCCCAGCACAACTGCCCCCGGGAGCTCTGACGTCTCCAGGACACTAGATCCCAGCACCCCAAGGGAAGCATCATGGACCAATGCAGGTACAAGTGAATCCTCAACTGAACCCCAGCCCACTTGGGAGACAGAGACGAGTTCTGGAGAGGAGACACTGACCAATGAGACAGGCCGTATCAGCACCTCCTATGATACCTGGGTGGATTCTGAGTCCACTGAGCCAAGTATAAGCTTCACTGAAACAGCATCACCTAGAGAAACAGCTTCAGACACACCCACCCTAGAAGCCCCAACCGGACAAACCACCGAGCAGTTTACATCTCCCACTGAGATCTCTCAGACAGGTGACAGCGACACAAGGACCAGCCAGGATACAGCCTACCTAACTAGCAGAGACACAGCTTCCTCTGAAACGACTACACATTTGACCCCAGCCGTCAGCAGTGCCCCAGTGTCCACGGCTACAGCGGTGGCCACAGGGGCTCCTGGCTCAAGTGTTCCAGCAGGGACAACCCCCACATCTAGCAAGGTTTCTTCCGCAACTCCAGAAGTCTTATCTACAGAGAATCGTGATTCTGGGGAGCCAAGCACCTGGGGTCTGACTCCATCAACCTCCAGACACCATTTTTCCTCTCATGAAACCAGCCCTGCAGGAGATATCACGAAAAGCACCAGTCCTCCTCTGCTCATGTCCACTTCGATTCCTGATGATACAGCATCAGGGCTCGGCACATCCTCAGACCTTAAGTTCACCTCCTCTGTGCACACAGAGACCCCTGAGACCACAGCGAAGACAGAGGCCAGCTCGGCCTTCCCTCCCTCCAGCGCGCTCAGTAATGCAGAAACAGGTACTGAAAGAGTCAGAGGTATGACTTCCACTCTGCTTCTCTCATCTCTATCGGGCAAAGGGGCAAATGTGTCCTCAGGCTTGGCATCTCTCTTGATATCACAGATTCACCCACCCTCCTCACACACTCCCCCTTCGCTCCAGAGGGGTCAACTGATCCTCGTCCCCTCAACCTTGTCAATATTTCTCAAAAGAAATCCACTTTTCTTTCTTCACCCCCTCCTCCTCAGCAAGACCAACAGCCACCTATTTATTGTTAATACTGTTGAGTTGCTAAGTCGTGTCTGACTCTTTTGTGATTCCCATGGACTGTACCCACCAGGTTCCTCTGTCCATGGCCTTCTCCAGGCAAGAATCCTGGAATGGGGCGCCAGTTCCTTCCTCAGATGATCTTTCTGACCCAGGGATCGAACCTGTGTCTCCTGCATTGGCAGGCGGATTCTTTACCACTGAGCCAGCTGGGAAGCCCCACCTACTGGAGAGGAAAGCAAGGGAAAATTTGAATCTATCCGTGTCTCAACCTGAGACCCCTACTTGCAGTTTAATCACCACCTAGGTCATCACCTCTGCCCCCTACCCACCGCTTCCTCACCATGGAAACACACAGCACACGTTCAACTCAGTTTTCTTCATCCCACCTAGGGAGTTAGCTCAGAGACACAAGCAGTGCCTCAGTTACGAACTCCACCAGGACAGCCCTTCTCGCCCATCTAGGACTTCTGATTTGCTTCTGCAGCAGAGATATCCAACAATGGCACTTTTATTTATTTCACTGTATGTCTAAACATATTTCACTGTATGTCTAAAGAATCTAGCCAGCGACCAGTTTAATTTTTTATTTAATAATTTATTTATTTATTTCTGACTGTGCTGGGTCTTTATTTCTGTAAGGGCATTTCTCTAGTTGTGGCGAGCAGACACTACTCTTTAACAGCAGTGCTCGGGCTTCTCGTTGCTGTGGCTTCTCTCTTTGCGGAGCACAGACTCTAGTATGTGCGCGTTTGCAGTTCCTGGGCTCTGGATCACAGGCTCAATATTTGTGTTGCAGGGACTTAGTTGCTCCCAGGCACGTGGGATCTTCCTGGACCAGAAATCAAACCTGTGTTGCCTGCATTGTCAGGCGGATTCTTAATCACTAGGCCACCAGGGAAGCCCCAGAGACCAAGTTTTGAACTTCAGACAAGATAACGTTTGGGCTTCCCTGCTGACTCAGCTGGTAAAGACTCCATCTGCAATGCGGAAGACCCAGATTGAGTCCCTGAGTTGGGACGATCCCCTGGAAGAGGGCATGGCAACCCACTCCGGTATTCTTGCCTGGAGAATCCCATGGACAGAGGAGCCTGGCGGGCTACAGTCCATGATGTTGCCAAGAGTCAGACATGACTGAGCGACTAACAATTTCATTTCAACACTTTCAAGATGATGTTTCGCACCAACCACTATTTCAGCCTCTGCCTTTTCTCTCCTTGCTTCTGTGGTGGTGCCTAGACTTAATTCTCCAACAACGACCCCCATGGAAAGGACTTCTCTTAGGGAAGCACCCATAGCCATACTCACAGCAGAGACACAAGTGGCCCACTCACTGTTCATTCTCTAGCTCCCACCAATGTAAAATCCACAAGGGGCTCCGAGTGTGAAAGATGGGAACAAGCCACTTGCCCATTGGAACCACATCTCCCTCTGAGACATCTACAGATTTTTCTTGGCCAAGAACAGTGTCCTAAACTCAACATCTCCGTTTCAGTCAGTGGGTGCTTCTAGCTCCAGTCCTCAAGCCAATTAGTTGGAACATTTTCTTTTTTTTTAATTTTATTTATTTTTTTGAGCTTTTTATTTTGTATTGAAAGTGAGTCACTCAGTCATGTCCAACCCTTTGTGATCCCATGGAATAGTCCATGGAATTCTCCATGCCAGAATACTGGAGAGGTAGCCGTTCCTTTCTCCAGGGGATGTTCCCAACCCAGGGATCGAATCCAGGTCTCCCGCATTGCAGGTGGATTCTTTACCAGATGAGCCACCAAGGAAACCCAAGAATACTGGAATGGGTAGCCTATCCCTTTTCCAGAGGATCTTCCCGACCCAGGAATCAAACCAGGGTCTCCTGCATCGCAGGCAGATTCTTTACCAGCTGAGTTACCAGGGAAGCCCATTTTGTATTGATATATAGCCAACTAAAATGTTGTGATAGCTTAGGGGAACAGTGACGGGACTCAGCCATACATATACATGTGTCCATTCTCTCCTAAACCACCCTTCCCTCCAGGCTGCCATTTAACATTGAGCAGAGTTCCCTGTGCTATACATTAGGTCCTTGTTAGTTACCCATTTTGTCAACTTATTTTTTAGCTTTTATCTTTTTTAACACCAAAAACATTTTGTGTTGGGATATAGCTGGATTAACAAACAATATTGTGATAGTTTCAGATGAACAGCAAAGGGACCCAGCTACACATATACATGCGTCCATTCTCCCCCAAACTCCCCTCCCATCCAGGCTGCCACTTAACATTGAGCAGAGTTGCATATGCTATACAATAGCTCTTTGTTGGTTATCCATTTTAAATATTGCAGTGTGTACATGACCTTCCAAATGTCCCTAACTATCCCTTCCCCTGGCAACCATAAGTTCATTTTCTAAGTCTGTGAGTCTCTTTCTGTTCTGTAAGTTCATTTGAATCATTTCTTTTTGGATGATACAAATAAGGGATGTCATATGATATTTCAAATGGCATTATTTAATTCTTTTTAATGACTGAGTAATATTTCATTGTATATATGTACCACCTTTTTCTTTCTTTCCTTTTTTCGCCATGGGTCTGGCTTGTAGGATCTTAGTTCCCCAACCAAGGATCCTGCCTGCACCCCTGGCAGTGAAAGTGAGACCTAACCCCTGGACCACCAGGGAATTCCCAGTTGGCACATTTTCTGATGCACTCTATCATTTGACCCCTGGTGGGATTACACTTTCTGGGATTGGAACCAGCCCACCTCTGACTCCACAAACAGTTGCAATTCACTCATCTCCTGCGCCTGGCTCTGCTAGAAGCAACCAGGTCTGTATTTCATCCTCATCTCCCTCAGTTCTCATTTACAAAGTCAGTGACCATATTTTTCAGTAGGAGAGTCACCACAAGCATGTTAAAGGATAAAACTGAAACTAGTAAATGGGAACAGTTCAAGTTACCTTCTATGACTTCCTTATCACCAAGGCATATCCCCACAAGTGTTGATATACGGAAGCACACCTCTGGTCCCCATGGGTATTCCACCTCTTCCCTCAATGGAGTTGTCAGAAGGGAGAGTCTATGCCCCTAACATCTACCTAATTTTAATTTTATTTATTTATTTATTTGGCTGAGCTGTGTCTTAGTTGCAGCATGCAAACTCCTAGTTACAGCATGTGAACTCTTAGTTGCAGCGTGTGGGATCTAGTTGCCTGAGCAAGGATCGAACCCCTGCACTCGCATTGAGAGCTCTGAGTCTTAGCCACTGGACCACCAGAGAAATCCCCACCCACAGAACCTAACCTTTAATCAACTAACACGTCCAACTTCAGCCTTCACATACCATTTCCGAGAATGCCAGAACCACCAACCTCATCTCCTGCGCCCGGCTCTACTAGAAGCAACCAGCTCCATGTTTTGTCCTCATCTCCTCTGCTCACACTTACAAAGTCTCTGCAGTATCCTTCACCTCCCCTTTCAGTTTCCACTTATCTCATAGTTTCATTCTACTATCTATATGCAACTAGTGACATCTTTAGCATCCTTGAGCCCAGATTCAGGTCTTTCCAGCCAAAGCCTAGCTTTTCCCTCCCCAGCGGTAAAGTGTGTGTGATAATAATTATAAAAGAATGATAAAAGAAAATGACAAAATGAGTAATCAGAAATATTTTTATATGTTAACTAACCAGACATAATAACTCCAGATATTCTTCTGATTTTACTTATGTGGAGTCCAAACCATAGGAGTAAAAAATTAAATAATGGTGAATTCACACATTATAAGTGATGGAGGCACTTCCCTGATTATCCAGTAGTTGAGCCAAGGGTGCAGGTTCAATCTCTGGTTGGGAAAATAGGATCCCACATGCCACAGTGTGGCCATAAATAAATAAAGGAGAATCTGGTGTTTTTTAATTTTACTTATTCAGTGGTTTGTTTTTGGCTGTGCTGGGTCTTCGTTGCTGTGTGCTGGCTTTCTCTAGATGCAGCAAGTGGGGGCTACTCTCTAGTTGCGGTAAATGGGCTTCTTATTGTGGTGGCTTTTCTTGTTGTGAAGCACAGGCTCTAGGCATGCAGGCTTCAGTAGTTGCAGCTCCCAGGCTTTAGAGCACAGGCTCAGTAGTTATGATGCATGGACTTGGTTGCTCCATGGCATGTGGGAAATTCCCAGACCAGGGATCAAACTTATGTCCCCTGCATTGGATTGCAGACTCTTAACTACTGCACCACCAGGGAAGCCCTCAATACATTTTTTTAAGTGATGGAGACATACTATCACAAATTTTTTGCTTGAGGCCAATACATTCAGCAGTCCCATTATTTTCCACAATTAAGACCCAGGTCATATTGTGGGTTTGATTTCATGCCAATAAGAGAATTATTCCTTCCAGAGTGCCTTCTCAGAGGCAGATGAGGCTCAGTTACTGAGCCAGGATCTAGCAAGAGCATTTCTTGTGGACGTGCATCTTAAGGGAATGGGAGACTGACACTTCTGTCCCCTTCTTCCTCAGGGTCAGTGGCAACCACCACCATGGATCTGAGGGACAAGGAACCTGGAAGCACTACACGGCCAGTGGGTAGCTTCACATCTCTGGAGACCATCAGTCTGGGTATGTGTGGTCATATTTTGGTACATAATGCTTGAGTCTTTTCTCCTGGTCTTTGGAGTAACAGGCTTCCCTGGTGGCTGAGCAGTGAAGAATCTGCCTGCCAATATAGGAGATGCAGGTTTGATCCCTCAGTCAGCAAGATCCTCTGGAGTAGGAAATGGCAACCCACTGCAGTATTCTTCCCTGGAGTATTCCATGGACAGAGGAGCCCAGTAGGCTACAGTCTATGGGGTTGCAATGAAGTGAAAGTGTATAAAAATATATAGGAAGAAGGGAACTTTCTTGGGGGTACAGTAGTTAAGAAACAACCTGCTAAGGCAGGAGACACAAGTTCAATCCCTGGTCCAGGAAATTTCACATACCATGGGGCAATTAAGCTTATGCACCACAGCTGCTGAAGCCCAAACACCCTAGAGCTCATGCTCCACAAGAGAATTCACTGCAATGAGAAGCCCAGGGACCATAACTAGAGAGTAGCCCCTGCTTGCTGCAACAAGAGAATGCTTACATGCAGCAATGAAGACCCACGATAGCCAAAAAATATTTAAATAAATAAAGAAAAAGAACAGAATAAACTCAAAGTATCAAGAAGGAAATAAAAGTTTAAAAAAGAGGAGCAATATCCTCCCTTGTTCCATAGGAAATAGTCAATGAGTCAGCTCAATTCTGATTCTTAAGACAATTGAAATGGACTTATCCACATGTCTTGGCTCCATAGGAAGGACCATAATGAACATGTATGCCCTTTTGAGCACATGTCCCACCAGCCTTCAAGACTCTGCAACCAGCTTTGTTATGATCACCAAAGTAACCCCAAGTTAGGCCTTCCCTGGCAGTCCAGTGGTTAAGACTCCACGCTTCCACTGCAAGGGTCATGGGTTTGATTCCTGGTCAGGGAATTAAGATCCCACATGCTGAGCAGTATGGCCAAAAAAAAAAAAAAAAAGTAACCAAATGTTCAGTGACAGATAAATCTGAACCCAGAACCATGATATGGGTCAGCTCCAGAGTCATTCCTTCCATTGCCCTGAGTAAAAAGACAATGACAACTAAATAACAGCTATAATACATAGACCTGTGGGTGATGCTTATTCCTCTGCTAGCCCCAGGTCAGAGCAGACAGCCGGAAGTGACCTGACACTGCGTGTCTCCTCTGTGGATACAGACATAACTATTACCACCTCCAGAGCCTACATTATTTCCACCTTGGACTTCTGGTAGACCAGAAGACTCAACCACTATAAGCCTTATCAGTATTGCAAGAGAGACTCCTGGCTACTTCTCTTTAAAGGGGCCAAAGTCTGAGTCCATCACAGGACAGAAGACCATTGAAACTACATCTCTCTCCACCTGGGGCCCTTTCTGTGACATCATTTCCTGCAGAGCTAACAATCAAGGGTGGGGACCTCACTCAGGAGGTCATCACCTCCAGTCCCAAGGGAGCGAGGTCAGTTTCACCTTTAATGCCTACCCCACAGAGGAGGCTTCAAAACCACACACAGCACCCAAGCACCAGGGACTTCTCCATGGACTTCCACAGGCACAGCTGACCACTTACATGATTTTCCTGAGGTCAATAATACAGGAAGAACATCATCATCCTTAGCAACAGCCACAGCAACAGGATCTACCCATCATTCTTCAGTTTTCACTGGAATGATTCTGGCTGCTCTATAGTCCCCTTATTCAGATAAAAATCACTGACCTCAGCACAAGACTAGAAGCCTTAAGTCCAAGGAACATAAGCACATCTGCTCCCACTGCAATTTTTCCTGATGACCAGGAGGTGAGCGCTCTGAGATTTCAGGTACAAACTCGACTCCCTAAGAATCTGAAATAACAGCCTTCCCTGTTTTCATTACTTCTCTTGAGCTGCCAAGTGCACAGACTGACATAATGGCTCCCCTCCAGCCTTTATGCCTGATGTCTCCACTTTGGATTTAGCCCCTAGAAGATCTGTGTCTTCAGTGTCTATAATAGGTTCAGTTCTTGTTGGAACCACAAGATCTCAAGGAGTCACCTCAGGGTCCAGTGATAACTCATCTATCTCATTGCTGCCATTCCCTCCGAGGACCATGACAGATAGGGTCACGTTGCCTCAGACAAACAGTAGCACCGAAGTGTCCATCACCGGAGATCTTGTGCTCACCAGTGGAGAGCCAGAGCAGAGCTCCATGCTCTCTCCCATCATGACTTCTATATCTTCAAGACAGAAGTCCACAGTTTCAGTGACTCTTCCTGGAGAGATCACATCTCCAGTGAGAACCCTAACCCTCAATTCAAGTGCCCAGGGACAGAGTCTAGGGGCTCCTATATTGGAGATGACAGATCCATCCATCTCTAGAAGTGAAGTACAGACAACTTTGACCACACAACTGACCACAGAAATAGCATCAGTCTCTTCCATCTCCCTGGAGACAATCAAGGAGTTCTCTCACTTTCCTGGACTGCTGAAGACCACAGAGCTTGTGGGCACAAGCAAGGAATCTGGGATCAAGAAATCTCCAATTTTGATCAGTAGTTCACATGATAGACTGGCCATTTCCAAGACCACCCCAGACACAGTGATGAATCGTTTGACAGAAGCAGCAGTGACCACTCATCAGACTATCAGTTCTGGTTCTGAGCCATGTTCCTCTGCCCTTGCACTCTCAGTGCCTCACAAGGCCATTTCTTCAGTGGTTACTACATCCACTGTGGAGGCCACCAACCTGTCTCAGGCATTTTCCACTTATCCTGTGTCTACCAGGACTCAGGAAGAACCTGTTTCCACTGAAACCTCTGGGCCAAGGGAGACCTGCTCAGCCATAGAGAGAAGCATGATCCCTTCTCGGACGTATGGCATTGCTACTACTGATGTCACCAGGAATGTGTTCACACCTCTGGACAGAATATGTAGCCCAGGCCCTACTCAGTCCTTGGGGATATCCAGTATCTTCAAAGGAACCAATGCCAACAGTTCTACCTCCTCTTCCAACAGTTCTACAACAGAATCTTTACATATTGCCTTTACAACATCAACAGGTCCCACTAGGATGAAGCCTGGGGATGCAGTTGTTCTGGACAAAACAATGACAGATTTCTGGGAAGGGATACCCTTGGATATGACTAAGATGACTGCTCCTGTGAGCAGGGGTCCAGGGACACTATCATGGAGAAGCTTTTTCTCTAAAGAAGAAACAAGGTTTCTCTTTTCCCCAGTCTCTTTTCCCAGCTTCATCTTACCTTCCTCCAGTTCCTCTGAAGCACGGGAACCCCCAGTCCTCATGTCACTTCCTCCCGCTTCAGAACCGACACCAGTCACATTATCCACAAACATTCAGTCTCAGAAAACAAACACTTTCCCAAGTACTGGATCCCCAGAAGATTCCTGCTGGTCCCTGAGCACTGCTACAGGAGAGGACAGGAACACTGGGATGACCACTGTGGACATCACCACTTCAGTGGCTAAGGATGAACCACCAAAGGTCCCCATATCTGGCATAGCTGAGACCTCACTTACCAAGGAGAGCTCCTCTGGTGCAGAGTTCAGATCCGCTCCAGTCCCTGACAATTCCACCCCATTTACAAGTAAGAACCCTGAATTCCTTTGCATTGGAATTCTAAGCTTTTGTGGCTGTGACTGAATGGGAGAAGATGGCTGTCAGGGATCGGCTTTAATACCTCCTAGGCAGACTCTACCTTAAAAAATATTCATGTATTTAGCTGTGTTGGGTCTTAGTAGCAGCACATGGGATCTTCATTGAGTCATGCGGGATTTTTTCATTTCAGTGCACAGACTTGCTATCAAATACCATATAATATCACTTATATGTGGAATCTAAAATACAACACAAATGAGCATACCTAAGAAACAGAATCAGACTTACAGACACAGAGAACAGACTGTGGTTGCCAAGTGGGCCAGGGGTGGGGAGGGAAGGACTGAGAGTTTGGGATTAGCAGATACAAACTACTATATATAGGATGGATAAACAACAAGGTTCTACTGTACAGCACAAGTAACTATATTCAATACCCTGTGATAAAGCATAATGAAAAAGAATATTTAAAGGAATATATAATATGTATAACTGAATGACTTTGCTGTATAACAGAAATTAATACAACATTGTAAATCAAACATACTTCAATAATTTTTTTTAAAAAGGAAAAAATTATGTTCTTTTTTTGGTCAGAAAATTATTTTCTTGAAACCAATCAGATGAGAAGTCCCCACAATTAACAAAGAGCTTTTCATCCCTTATGACTATCTTGAGGCTTTGATTTAATATAAAATTTAATGTAAAAGAGACAGTTATTCTTTAAATCCCTTCTGAGAGATAAATGAGGGCATGGCTAATCCAGTGTCTAGTGGGAATGGTCTTCACAGGTCTATATTCTTAGGGAATTCAAAGGTAACACCTCTGTCTTCTACTTCAGGGCCAGATGAGTCTGTGGGCGCTATCACCAGGGAGCCAAATCAAGGAGAACGTGGAGGTACCGCTCGGCCAACCAGTAATCCTGCATCTCTTATGACTACGATCAGTGTGGGTAAGTAGGAGCACCATCTCTATCTCTTTTTTTTTTTACCATTTTATTTATTTACATTCGGATGTGCTGGGTCTTTGTTGACACACGGGCTTTTCTCTAGTTGTGGCGAGCTGGAGCTACTCTGTACTTGCGATACACAGGCTTCTCACTGAGGTGACTTCTCTTGTTGCAGAGCATGGGATCTGGAGTGTGAGGACTTCAGTAGTTGTGGCTCACCAGCTTAGTTACTCCAAGGAATGTGGGATCCTCCCAGACCAGGGATCGAACCCATGTCTCTTGCACTGGCAGATGGATTCTTATCCACTGAGCCACCAGGGAAGCCCATCATCTCTATTTCCTTCAAGGCTATCCCATTTGGGTCCTTTCCCCTCATCTCTGGGGTCAAAAGTTGGATTGTTTAAGGAAGTAAAATGACAAGGTTTGAAATCTATTTCTTTGGCTTTTTGCCCCTCTGAGGATGTTGATTGTTTTTTTTCCTAGAGATTGTATTCATGGAACACGT